TTTTATTGTCTCCATAGTTTTGCTTTTCCATAATGTCATATAGTTGCAATAATATGCACCTCTAAGTTTCCTCCATGTCTTTTCATGGCTTGATAGCTCATTTCTTTTAAGTGCTGAATACTATTCCACTACCTACATATACTATGGCTCATTTATCCATTCATCTACTGAAGGAAATCTCAGTTGCTTCCAAGTTAAGCAATTATAAATAAAACTGCTATAAGCACGCATGTGTGTACATAAGTTTTAAAATCTTTGGGATGAATACCAAGGGTTGCTCTTGCTGGATCACATGGTAAGAGTATATTTAGTTTTGTAAGAAAGCACCAAACTGTCTTCCAAAGTGGTTATTCCAGTTTGTATTCCTACCAGAATGTGGGGGCATTCCTGTCCTGTTGCCCTTCATCCTTGTCAGCATTTGGTGTTGTCAGTGTTCTAGATTTTGGCCTTCCTAATAAGTGTATTGTGGTATCTCATTGTTGTTTTAATTTATATTTCCCTGATGACATATGATATGGATCACCTTTTCATATGCTTATTTACCATCTGAATGAAGCATCTGTTAAAGTCTTTGGCCCATTTTTTAATTGGATTGTTTGTTTTCTTATTATTGAGTTCTTTGCATATTTTGGGTAATAGTTCTTTATAGATTTTTTTTTTTGAAGATACTATATCCCAGTCCATGGCTTGTCTTCTAATTCTCTTGATAGTATCTTTCAAAGAGCAGAAGTTTTTCATTTTAATGAAGCCCAGCTTATCAATTACTTCTTTCATGGGTTGTGTCTTTGGTGTTATATCTAAAAAGACTCCACCATATCCAAGACATTCTAGTTTTCTCCTATATTATCTTCTAGGAGTTTTATAGTGTTGTGTTTTGTAAACTTTTTTTTTTGTTACTAATTCTAATTATGTTCACTCTCTCATTCAATTACTCACTGTCTGAATGCTTACACTATCCTCAAGCCTTCTTTCCAACATCTTACCCTCACTCTCCTGCAGATAATTTAGTCTCTTCTTACCAAGAGAAATGGAAAGATCAAATATAACCTTCCTAGAATTCCTACCCCTCACAAAGAGCACACATGTGAGCTCGTTAACTCACATGATTCACTCTTTCTTGTCCTTGTATCATTTTTCTTGAATCACCAACTCCTTATGCTGTGCTATTATTTCTCCTCAAGCAGTAACTATGCTTAGTTCTTTCCCTCACTAAAAACAAAAGAAAACAACAAAAAAACCCACATCAAAAACTGGCAACAAAAACACCTCCTTCATCTGTGTCTATTTTGGTTTTACCTCTCTTTCATCCTCCTCTAGGTAGAGTTCCTTTTAGTCATTGTCTCCATTTTTACTTCCCATTTACTTTTCAATCCAAGGAACTCTGGTTTGTTCCACTACTACATTGCAACTGGCATAGCTGAAGACACTATGACATTTGCACTGCATGCCTCTTTCTGTGCTGAATCTGACACTCCCAATCACACAGTCCTTGAAATTCACCTTGCCTGTGTTCCCATGATTTTACTCCTATTCCTCTGATATTCCTTTTCAGGCTCTTTTCTGACCACCTCTTAAATGTTATTTCCCCAGGATTCCACCATGAGCCACCGCTATTACAACCCAAAGTTAAACTATATAGTTATGTTCACTTTCTAGTTATATTCATATCTAATGTTTATATGTAGAGAGACATATGTGTGTGTATACATATGTATCAGACATGTATGCAGACACACATATCACAATATACTGCTATATGTATGTAAACTGATAACTTGCAGGTCTCCATCTCCAGTCCTAGTATCGCCCTTTGCTTCAGACATCAGGGCACTTGTATGCGTATTTCCCACAGGTGCCTCAAATTCAACATGGCCTTGGCTGAATCCATCATCAACTCCCCCACTTCCCAAAACATGGTTTCTCTTCCTCTGTTCCTTCTGAGTTGGTAGCCCCAAGAATTTCATAATCATTCTAGAACAGCACAATGCCCAGTAAAAATACAATGCAAGCCACATAAGTAATATAACATTTTCTGGTCTCCTGACTTAAAAATAAAATGAAGTAGGTGAAATGGATATGAAAAACAGCTTTTATTTAACTTAGCTTATCTAAAGCATTATCATTTCAACACATGATAAATTCTAAAACATTTAATGAGATATTTTACAGTATTATTATTTTTTGTGCTAAGTTTTCCAAATCCAGTGTGCATTTTATACTTATTGCACATCTGAATTGAAACTAGTCCCTAAGACCCAATAACCATGTGTGGCTAGTGGCTACTGTACAGTGCAGTTCTAGAGTATTACCTTCATTAATCTCTCTCTCACCTAGTCATAAGTCCTGTTGATTTTATCAAATAAGTGTTTCTCCTGTAGGTTCATTTATTTTCATCCTTACTACATCATGGTTTTAGTTAACACTTTGGCTATTTCTCACGTGGATTATTGCAATAGCTTAAATAACCTGGTTTGTCTGTTCGAGGGAGTGTGCAAAATCCACTGGAATCCAGGAGGATATAGTAGAACATCTACTTATATGTATTTTTATTTAGGAAATAAGAATACAGTTCACATTTATTAATATTTAATATACATATTGATACCAGCACCCTAACTCTGTATATGTGAAAAGTCATTAATGAAGCAATAAATGTAACAAAATACATTTCCTCTACAACATAAAAAATTAAATATTTAGTTCATTTTCATATCATACTTTTAAATTTCTTTGTGTATTCCATGTGATGCACATAATTTATTAATACAATGGTCTTATATCATTTACAAAATTTACATGTGTACTTGAAATTTATATTAATACTGCCAGGAAAGTGATATCACTAAATTTGGGGTCTCATGGAACTAGATCCCCTCTGACTTTACCCCACCTGCCTCACCAGCCTCAACTTCAGCCCCACCTTACATTTTTGTGCTATGTGGCTCTTAGATATTTTGTTTTTGTTTGTCCTTTTTCATACAGATGAACAAATAGGCAAACAAGATTATGTCCTCACCTAATTCTGTTTCTTTTCCAGTCTCTTCTGAGGTTCCACCTCTTCAAGGAAAGCCTATTCCACCTTCATAAGTTGTGTTGAGTGCCCTTCTGTTGCTTGGTATACATCTCCTACTGCACTATTAGATTGAAATTACCTCTTTAGGATCTACCTTCCATACTAAACTATAAGATTCCTGAGGGTGGGACTTGTGGCATTGTAGTGTTTTTTTCATCTAGACATATGACAGGTTCTTAAGAAACGTTTGTTGAACTGAATTCATGGCTGTCCTTGATGGAGCCAGCCTTTTCTACCAGTAAATCAAATAGTGATTCTCTTATTGAAATCTGTGGATTATCTGGAAGACTTGCCATCTATCCAAAAACACCTGAAAAAATGAAATAATAAGAATATTTTCATTTAGTACCATGATCAGTATGGTATTTGTAAGCCCTGGCAGAGTGGATAACAATGTTGGTGTGAAATAATTTGACCAGCTCCTTCTGATTTAAAAATTAGATGAGATCATTTGCTCTAAGGAGAATGAAGTTTTGATGTATGTGTAAACACAAGGGTCATCAAACTTCAGTATAAGTAAGAATCACTTTGGGAACATGTTAGAGTGTTGATTCCTGGGCTTCATATGTACATATTCTGATTCATTTGGACTGATAAGTAGCCCAAAAGTCTGTATCTTTTGAAACATCCCAGTGATCATAATACAGCTGATAGGAACCATACTTTGAGAAGTATTGTTTCTGTCTTTCTGAAAGAAAGAGTAAGAGGAAGGAGTAATTTTGAATGATGGAGAGAACTGCATTAGTCTGGGACTGAGCGTGGTTCTCTGTGGGAGTCGATAAAAATTACAGATGAATACAAAGTAGATGCTGAGACAGAGACGTAAGGGCACTGGGCCTGGGAGAGAGGGTTGGAAGATCATTAATGACAACCTTGGCTGATTTCAGTTTCCCTAGGATTGACTCTCCTTAAACAGAAAATGTAGTATCAATATTTTTTTAAAAATCTGATTATTGGGGTATTTTCATTTTCATCTTCCTTTAGGAACTGATACCCATTAGTCATTCAATAAATAATTTCTTAAATATTTCAGAATCTATAGGGTATTGAATGAATGTAGGTCCAGGATGATTTTTGATATTTAGACAGTACCACACAATTTCATGTAGTAGTTCATTTCTGGTTCCTATGAAGACAAAAATTTTGTAGCATAGAAAAGATGGTAAACCATGCCATATGGAAAACAGAATTTAACCTTACAGCAATAGATTTTCACTTAAATTCTATTTATAAAATCATTTCTTTCTAATCTAAAATCCAAGTTGTTAAAGTTTTAAAATTTTAAAGAGGTTTAAAGATTTTGATGAAGATGCTACATATTTTTTAGAATGGCAAATAACAACCAGAAGGGGAAGATAAATCTAAACCATTAAAAAACACCAAGCTTTTAATTGTAACTTATTGTTCCAGCTTTTTAAATTCATCTCCAGAGCTGTTAGCAAGGAACTAATTGGTTGGCTTGAGTTTCTTCTTTTATAACTTGGTGGCCAGTCTCTGGAGGAAATCCTAACAAAATGAAAACTGGGCTCGCAGATGGACTAGGGGAGGGAGGAGAAGAGGCAGTGGGCATGGGGAGTCTGTTGTTCCCCCAGTACACTTAAGTATGTTTTATTCGTGGCATCACTGTCCCAGATAGGCCTGGCACAAGCCTATTCGTCTGCCTCATTTCATTCCTGTCGTTTCAGTCACTCCTCTTCTGCCATCCATATAAGCTCATGACTTTGATTTTGTTTATTTGATGGGAGAGACTTCCCTCTGGTTATCTGTAGTTTGGGAAGAAAAACTATCTTGACTAGTTTACTAGTTGGGTTTTGGGGAAATATGCTGTTCAGTTTGTATCCTGCTTTAAACTACACTTGGTTCAAGACCTGTGCTCTCCATTGTCTCATATTAAACTCAACAACCTGCAATCTGTGCTCTCTTGTAGGTGATTCGCAAGGGCTGGTTAACCATCAGCAACATTGGCATCATGAAAGGAGGCTCTAAGGGATACTGGTTTGTCCTTACTGCTGAAAGCTTGTCCTGGTACAAAGATGATGAGGTAAGCCACAGAGAGTGACAATTTTCTTATTAATGTGTTTCCAATTTCAAATCAGTTGATATTATTGTGATATACAGTTTGGAGACATGAGTGGTTCTCACTGAGTAATACTTAGTTTGAGATGTTCTTTGAAGGAGTACTGATTTCCTCAAATATTTTCAATTTTACAATGTTCCCCTCAAATTTCCTTCATTTCTTTGGTGTAGTCACATATCTGCATACCTGAAGAAATGGAGTTAGGGGCCAATATTTGGAAATGTCCTTCTTTGTGATATTGGCAAGGTAATGGTACAGTGAAAGTGATTTTCATTAAATAATATGTTGAAAAGACCCAAGGATATAGAGAATCTTAAGAATGAAATTAACAGTATTGATGTAGAATTAATACGGTATTTTGGAATTGTTGCTGTGACATCTGCTTCAAATGACAGGCTTTTGAGAATACCCAAATCACTAGTCATCAACTGAGTCTTGATAATTGTTTATGTGAATTTTGTTCTTTGAGAATTTAATTTCTGTGTTAAAGCATGAATTATGATAATTATGGTGTTCTCATTCATGTTAGATGTTAATAATTTTGGTCCTGTGACTTACTACTCATTTAAATCTAATAGCTACAAAAGCACGCACAAAAAATATTATCAGTCTTGCAGAGCCATCAGAGTTCTATAAAGTGATACTGCTGAATTTGAGAGGGCATGAGTGGAAATTAAACCATATTTTAATATCCCTGGTCTTATCCAAGAAGTTTTGGGGGCTTATAATGCAGCATGCAATCTTTAGATAAGAACGTGCTGTGAGAGCAAAACTACAAGTGGGATTATCTTTATTTTATTTGGCTGCAAAGGGTGTGCATTTCAGAGTTGGAAGGCCTTCCAATCCTGGCTTGATACCTTTTAAAAGTACTACAAGGTACCTGTGTCAGTTGTTGGAAGAAAAGGTCCAGGTCTTATATAATTCTTTTTGTTTCCTAAGTGCTTTGCACACCATGGAGTATTGAATAAATATCAGCTGATCTGCTGATGGCCAGTAATTTTCTGCAGCAAGGGAAAACAAATTCTATACAAATGTCCAAAGAAATTTTCTACTCAAAAGCTTTATAAAAATTTTATGTCATGTAGTTCATTGGCATCAGTCAAATGTGGATTTGGTTATTGTGAGTCTGAGGATTAGCAATGGTTTCTTTGCTGTGTGGGCTGCTTAGACACCCTGTCATTCTGTGGGAAGTTCCAGTCTTTAAAGAGCACAGTTCAGGAGCTCTAAGACACCTCCTCAGATATAAGAATCTATAAGTAGACTATCTTCTTTTGTGTTCAGTTGCCCTGAGAGATCTTCTCTCATATATGTTTTGTTTGCAAGGATTTAGATGATTATTTATGTACATTTAAATACACATTAGTCTTGGTCCTTTATCAGTTATTCTAGGGAAAGCAAAAGATTTTGCTGAGGAATCATAATAATAATAGCTGATGTCTTATATACGCTTATATATATGTACTGTATATGTACATGTATTTATTAACTCATTTACATTACAATTCTAAGGATAGGCACTGTTATTACCCCCATTTTTCAGAGGGATAAACTAAAAAAAAACAACCTTCTGAAAAGTCATTTCTATAAGGGCTCAGTTTCCCCTGTTGTAGAATGTATGGTGTTGGTGAGATTAACTAACTTCTGAAGGGCACTTAGCTAATTCATAGCCAAGCGGAAATTTGAACCCCCAGGCTCTCTGGCTCCAGAGTTTATGTCTTCAACCACAAATGCAGGCAGTGATCCTAGAGATGCTAGAGTTTTCCAAGTCAATCTCATCCCACAGAAGATACATTAAGATGAGTTCCAGGCATCTCAGCATTGACCTTCGCCAGGGTGTTAGTATTAGGGCCTCCGAAGACTGGAATTAACTACTGCTGTTGGAGTAGGACTTTAAGGTTCTTTGATCTGGCTATGTGGCCATCAAAAGGCACGTGATGCTCCCTGTAGGGAAAGAAGAAGCTTTGAGGGCTTGGTGAGCTAATGGTCACCACGTCGTCCTGTCCAGGATAATGTTTTACAACATCTCTGCTGCTGAAGTTTCCTCATGAGCTCTTGATTACAACAAATAGAAAATACATGTGTTCAGTTATAATATTAACTGAGTGCCAGAGACCATTTTATTAAACATGTGTGTGTAGAGGGTGGTTGGGCATGAGGGGTTGGGGTAGGAATAACCCTTGAAAAAAATTAGAGTGATTTAGATGAGGACCGTTTAGGAAAATGTTCAGTTTAGACCATTTCAAGAAAGAGAAAAATGACAAAGTTGCTGCTCTATGAAACTAACAAGTAGACTAATACAATATCAGATATTAAGGCTCTGAAGAAAATAAAATAGGGAAGTGAGCTGGAAAGTGATGGGGAGGGACCTTTAGATTGGGTACTTGGGAGGAAATAACATTGAGGCAACAGTCAGAATGATGAGCTGTATAGACTTTGGAAGAACATTCCAGGTAGATGGAACCATGAATATAAACCCCCCTGGGTGGGAGTCAGCAAGGCACCTGTGGCTGGAATATAAGAGCAATTGGAGGAAGAGATGGGGAATAAAATCAGAGGTACCAGTGACAGCAGCCCCATTAAGGCCCTGCCCGATGACTTGGATTTTATTCCAAGGAAAAGCATTGGCATGTTCCGACAGGGGTAACATGATTGGATTAATGTTTAAGAGAGCTCACTCGGGCTGCTGGGTTAGGCATGGTATGTGGGATGGAATGTGTGTGTGGAAGGAGGGGAGTGGCAAGACTAAAAGAAAAGGGAGACCAGCTAGGAGACTGTAGCAGTGGTCCAGGCAAGGGAAGATGGTGGCTTGTACTGGGTGTGGTGGGAGAGGAGCACTTATGTTCAGGATAGCAAACTGATGGGCCAACGTACAGCTGCACTGCCATGCTTAGCTACCATTAACTCATTTAAAGCTATCCTTGGAAACAAGATAGGAAGTTTTCAATATTAATGCCTGCTTCATGAATGACCCCTAGCTTCACATTGTCTGTGTCAGTGGGGCAGAGCCTTTTTCCCCTGGAGTCATAGTCATACTCATTCCACCTCACCAGCCCTCGGCCACCACCACTGTTATCCCTGCTCCGTTTCTCTTGACAGAGCTTCCTGCCACTGCAGACCACCTCTGGCCTGCTGTCAGGACAAAAAGAAGGGCAGCACTGTTCCACGCTCTTTGCTAGTATTCAACAGTTATTAGCAGTGTCTGCTGGGAGGCAAGGCTGCAGTTCTAACTCTACTCATGGAGTCAAATTTGTTGGTAAACTGGGTGCTGTGTTTTGTCCCTATGATATCTGTCTGTATCTATCTCACCACCTACACATTTTGGAAATCCTGTTACATGACAATCTGTCTTTTTTTAGTCAAACAAATGTGTTATAGCAAATACCATGAAGTTAGTTATAATTCATTTATTCAACAGTAAATTTATATTTAAAGTTCCATACAGAGCTGTCACATTTTTTCTGTGTTCTACCATCCTTCTGTTTTCTTGTGTAATTAGACTGATACGTTTCATAATGACCTAACTGGCTGTTGAGTAAATAGTATATTATGTCATATGAATAGATATAGTTTTATTTATGACAGTTTTGTAATAAATATAAATGACTTGTGAAATACATTTGTGGTTAAAGAACAGTGGCTCAGACTGTGTTTCAGGATGACATTAACTGAACAAAAGACCCTGTCGACCATGTGCTTGGTGCAGGGCAAAGGGGGCGGCACTGAACGATGTGGATTTGCTCTAACTGCCAATGTTGGAACAAGTTACTCTTCTCTGAGCCTGTTTTCATTTAACAAATGGGGACAACTGCTGACCAGACCACCTCAAAGGAATTTTATAGGACTCTTAAGAAATTATATATTATATGTATATTATATATATATAATTTATTATATACAAATTTCTATGTATTTTAAATTTTATAATTTTATAGGACTTAAGAAATTATATATTATATATAATAAATTAAATATAAATTTATATATATAAATTTTTAGGTATCACATTTATTCACACACACATATGTTTCTGCCATTACAAGTAACACTGCTCTCCCACTGTAATGTCATTTTGTGACTCACATGTCTTCTAATTTCTAACTTTTTGCCATTTCATATTATTAGATAGGATGTATGGGATCTGGGTTTTGTAGCAGAGAATGGTAAGGTTTAGACAATAAGAGGGAACTCAGATCCCATTCCTTCAGTGAGACTTGCCACGCCTCCTCCCCTCCAGGCTATGGGTCCTCCTACACCTCAGCTAAGAATCAGAGATAATGATGTCAAAATATGTGATTTCCTTCAAGCTGACTGAGGCAATGGCATGATGACCTTGTGTAATAGTTTTGAGTTAGAGTTGGTACGACTGTAATAGTCCCAGCATTGTTCCTGCCTTCTCCCCATCTTGAATGGATCTATCCACCCTACCCTTGAAATTTTGTCAGATTCACAAACACCCTCAGGCATCCATGGAGTGTACTTTGTGAACCATTATTCTACATTACAATAATGTTATTTGTAATATTGCTGGTAGATGAGGTTAATAGAAAGGTTACCATCTGTGTCACAGGCAATGTTATTTCCATGTGTTATCTTCAAGAGTCTTTATAGTACAATGTAGTAGACAATTATGATAGATATAATCATACTTGACTGTATGTTATCCTCTAACATCATTCTAAGATTGGGGCTTTCTGCAACATACAAATAAATAAACCATCTTTTACAAGGTTAGACAGTTATAACTAAGCACCAACGGGAGTTGCCTAAATCTGGCTGTCTTTCTGAGTCATGCTCCAGTACCCTAGACTCTGAAATTTCCCTCATAAGTAGCCCTGAGCACATTTCTAGGGGTTACATAGGCCTGTACCTGGGTTCATCTTTCCCAGGACATTCTGCTGGTATGTGTACCTCAGGTCAAGGAGGGGTTGTTTATGGGAGTGAAAACAGAGTTTGGACATGACGCCTTGTGTGTCCACATACATCCCCTTGGATCTGGGATGGATGTACTTAGCTCCTTTGATTTCTATCAAAATAATGACATAAGGAAATTTATAGTACTTATCTTTACTAAGGATTGGCGAAAGCCATGCAGCAATTCAAACAACTTCGAATAGAATATTAGATACGGCTCTGCACAGCAGTTTTTAACCAGTGGACACCCACTTGGGTATGTCACTGGCAGCTCTAGCCTTGTGCTGGCCCAGCCCAAGGACAATGTGTTGGCTTTTGTCTTTCTCTTCCCAATCCCATCTCTCCCCTCAACACCGGATTGCCCCAAACTCAAGGTGCTTCTCACTCTATTATGTGCATCAGCTCTCTCAAGATCTAGTCCAGGCTTTGAGGCAGGATCACCTTTGCTTATTCAAAATAGTCAACATGCTCAATCAAACCCACGTGGACTTGCAGTTAAGATGCTCCCTAGTTCTACAGTAATTGTGGTTGTAAATAGTATCTCCACTCTTCATTCTACCAGTTTAAACTATTAAAGACCAGCTTTCAATGAGTGATAATCTTGATGATGATGATCATCCATCATAATAGTTAACATTTATTGAGTATTGATAGTTTATCAGACACTGAGTTATGCCAATACATTATTTACATTCTCCATTTTAGAAAAGAAGATTGAGACTCACAGAGAATGAGTAACTTAGCCAGCTGCTGAGTGTCAGCGCTATGCTCTTAATCACCTGATCATTTCTCAACAAATACTTTCTTTGTACCTGTTGTGTATTGAAATTCATGCTATCTGCCCTCGTGAAGGATATTTCCCAATAAAGAAAACATATAAACAAACAGGAAATCCTGTCAGATGCAGATTACAAGCTACAAAGAAAATAAATCTAGTAATGTGTTTGACTTGAAGTGTGTCTGCTGTGGGGATCACAGCATGGGGGGATGTTAAATTTGGGTGGTCAGAGAAGGTTTTTATTAATGTCTTGAGGCAAGACTGAGCCCGAGGAATTTAAGAAACTGAATTAAGGCCAGTGTGACTGAAACAGAGAAAAGGGCTCTTTAAAAATTAAGGATTTTGATCCTAAGCATGATGAGGAGCCTTTGAAGTTTTTAAGCTGGAGAGTCACATAATATGATTTGAATTTTTTTTGCAGATCTATCTGATTGCCTTGTAGAGAATGGATTGGAGGAGGACAAAACTGTGTTGGGGAGTTGTTAGAGAGCTATGGCTGTGGTCTACATAAGAGAGAATAGCAGCCTGGGCTGGGGTGGGTTGAAAGAAATTGATGGAAATGGAAGGATTTAAGAGATTTTTTTCAGAGGGTGAAGATTGACATGACAACTCCTCACACATACAAGTATTGGTTGAATATTTTAAGTTCCTGCTGAACTGTAAGCTTCTTGAGACCAGGAGTCATTGTCTTATTCACTGTTCATTGTTCAGAGACAGAGCATTGATATGGCATCATGTAAATACTGGGTGAGTGAAGATGTGATTCAGCAAATAAATAAGTGCAGCGTAATAATTCATCCCATCCTGGTATCTCATGTGCTTAAACTAATTTATTGAATTACAGGGTAAAATTACCATTAGAGGTAGATTGTCTTAAAATTTTAATTTCCATCATTGAAGGTGAATGGATTTTTTTTCTCTTCTGACTATATAACTTCCTGGCCTGAAGATCATGTATGCAGAAAATTATTTCCCAGTGTTATTTTCATACATTGTAAATATATTTTGTACAGTTCTTGGGAGGGATTTGGAAAAGGGAAAAGTTTTGGAATAAATAGATTTTGGATTTTTGGTTTAGATAGTTTTACATTAATACTTTAAAGTCAGGTTTGGGAAAAAGTGATGGCATTTATTTATAAAAGGTGAATTGTAGAAGAATAGTATAGTCTGATTCAAGGAGAAAAGAGCCTTATTTTTCTTAATAACAATGAGAAATGTGTAAATGATAGTTAAAATCTCTGGAGAAAGAGGATTGCTAGTTTATGTATAAACATAATACACAGACTATATTTATTCTTTTCTATATTCTGACATGAAGATTAAAATCACAATGGAATATTCATAGGAAAGTAGGCTAATTCAACAGAAGTGTTTCCAATGGAAATGCATGAACCTTACACTATTCCAGAAAATCCAAAATCTGCATTAGAATAAGGACATTCTTTGGACTCTTAAAAAATTACAGGCCTCATTTTTGTGGGTTGAGGTATTGGATAGTTTGATAAGGAGATTATATAATTCTTATATAGGGATATTTACTTAGTATTGTTTTTATTATATAGTTGTAACAGATGAGAAATGTAACTTCGGTAATAGGGAACAAAATGACAGCTATATGCCTGACTATCCTGCATGGCCAAAGTTGTGAGACCAAAAAGTTATAGAAATCTTCAGGTCTTTCAATTTTTACTGAAGCTTTCAAGATTCTGCCTGTTTCCTGCCTGTCTGCATTCCCTGTGATGAGGAGGGCAGGACTGACCCTGTGAGCATGATTCACACTCCTTGTTGTTTTAGTTAGCAAAAATTAGATATTTTTACAAAAATAAGTCTCATGAAAAATTGGACTTTAAAATGCTTATGTTACTTAAAATTCTTCGTGATCGTGGTTGTGTGTACTTTTTCTCACACACATAAGCTATTTTCTGTTATGCTTTTTAAGTAGGATTATTTCATACCAACATTTACACATTCTGGCATTATGCACAGATTTATAATTTTGAAAAATACCTAGTGTTATGCAACTGCCTATAATGGCAAATGTTATTTCAAATTTATTAATAATATTTACAGACCCAAACCCACTTCCCTATATATACTATTTGTTCTACTCAAAAGTTTATACTAGAAGAATATTACCCTTTTTATTACCCTTTCCTGGAAGAGTAAAATTTTTTTATGTGCCTCATTTAATGAATATAAATATACATAATGTTCTTTCAAGCATTTTTGGGGGGAGCTAAGGAAAAAAACATAAACCAAGATTTAGTTAACCTCATGTTTTAAGGGAAAATGATTTGAAACATTATTCTGGAGTGGCTCACTTAAAGATGACCCTGCTGGCCTCCTAGTTTTCCCTTTGGAATTTGATGGAAATGAACAGTCTCCTTTATGTTCTGTCCCTGCTGTTGTGTCATCTGCAGAGCTCTAAAGCAATATCCTGAGACCGCCTTGTAGGGGCCAGTAAAATGATCCATAGTGGATGTCTGCTTGTGGTGTTTGTAAATTATGTATTATAATATATAGATTAAATAAAGCATATGATATATTCATGTTACAATTTATAATATGTAAATTATTGCATATTTACATATTATATGAACATGTAAATTAGATTATATAAAGCATTTGAAATTGGTGGTACTATGTAAATATTCTGTGACACACTTATAGTGACTTCCTTTTTATAGTTTACATTTTGTGAACTGTTGTTTAGGACTTTGTTAATAATGGGACCTTTATTTAAGGTAAAGACCATTGCACAATGTGCTTTGCAGAAGCATATTTTAGCAGATGAACTGTCTTCCTTGGCCAGATTGTTAAATGTGAGAATTTAGTCTTAATCATGTTTTTGCATCAGAGTTTTGTGCAATCACTGTTTTGTTTTGTTTTTTAAAGGAACTACATACAGTGTCACAATTGGTAAAATATCAAAAAATTGTGGAAATTTTGAAACTCATGGGGTATTTATCCTTAAGACTAAATCTTTCACTCTGCAAATGAAATATCTGAATGAAAATAGTTTGCTTAGTCCAAAGTATATATTTAAAATATTTAATTAGGTTTCAAAAAGCCTGAAAATTTTGGATAGCCTTGGGCTACCTTTTTTTAAGTTTGACCAGAATTTTTCTAAGGAAGATGAACATTAACTTTAAATACTAAAGTTAAAACATTTCAATGAGTCAAATCAAAGTTGTGAAATTTCTAATTTTATCTATCTCCCTACTTTTTACCCTTATGTGTTTGACATAGTCGTATATGTTTGAAATGACCTGGTCATTTCACTGCAGTTCAGTGTATAAACTGAAGTTTGACATTTCCTCAAAAAATATGGCAAGATATGCATTGCATACCCATTATCCCTTTTCTTGCTCTTTTTGAAAATTGAATTGCTTGAACAGCTTAAGAGTTTGAAAGTTTATGGTGAATGGGAGCATGTATTCCAAGGGAGTGCATTGGCCCCGTAAATTCTCCCTTAAAACTGCAGTGTAGGCCCCTGCTTAATTAAAAATTGACATAATAATAAATCTGTATATATATATCATGACAATTGGAATATCAGAGCATCAGTCTCAACTTTCTATACATCAAAAGATGAGAAACAATCATTTGAATACATTTGAAAAATATGTTGTCAATAAATACTCTTTTCACTGTGTTTTACCCAGACCCAAACCGGCGAGGTTATTAACTCCAAGTATGCGATCCCCTGGGACATTATCCCTTTTCTGTTTTACTTTTTCTCTCCCTCTCTCTTAAAAAATCCTGATACAGAAAACTGAACTTAGTTTTTGGAATAGAATTATTAGAATAATTTATTCTTTGTTAAGCATCAGACTGAAGATATGTTATTTTGTCCTGTTGATTATGGGGTACAGCAAAATTGTGTGCAATAAATGTCAAAGCTAGTAATTTACTGACAACCATTAGGAAAAGAGAATTATAGAAAGCACAGGAACATTTTCAGAAATGGGTTTTATTATATTTCATAGGCACCACTCACTTTACTTTTGGTGGGTTTCAATATTCGAATCAAAATAAAATTATACATACGAGTTAAGTATTAAACCAACAGATTAAAATCCCACGCCCCCACACCCCTCATTTTGGTTGTAGCTCTTGGTGTAGATGCTATGGTGTGAGGGCTGCTTTCTTTCAATGGCTGGTTGTCATTCAGGCTGGGTTGTCATGTGACTGCCTGTCTGTGCCTGCTGTACAGGTGAGCGGATGTTCTGCACAGCAAGTGTAGACAGGCAGACACATGACAACTCTGTCCAGCCAGGCCCTTGGTTCCTTCGGGTTTCCTTTGCTCATGGGCAGACACAATCAGTCTGTTTTCCAGATTTGGTGATTTTGGAGGGCCAGGGGAAAGGGAGAAAAAAACACACAATAGAATTAAACCTTAAAACATTATGGAACTAAAAACAAGTTAGACTTTCAACTTTATTCAGAAAGTATACTTATACACTTGTTCCAAATGTGCTAACATGGATAACTGACATAACAGAAAACTCACATTGAAATTTGAAGGAAAAAACAAAAAAACAAAGATTAAGCACAAGGTTTATTCTTAAATCCAGTTCATATTATTACTGGCCCACATGTAGTCAGAGTTCAGAGTAATTGAACCAGATGTTTTTCCTCTTCACAAAAACTGCATATTTTAACACTGAAGTTAAAGTCTATGTTTATACATGTTTCTTACAGTAGATAAGTACCTTAACCTTGGCCATGAAAAAGAAAATTGTCATTTACATGGAAACGGCAGCCATTTTTAAAATAATTAATGAGCCCAATGTATTTGGCAATTCATCCAGCCAACTTTGATATCTGATGCTTTGATAGTGGGATTTTACAAGGGGATGTATTTTTGCCAATACTTTGTTAAGCAACAGGAACTTATTTAAATTTCTTATATTCTTTTTAATGGAAAATTTTTAAGAATGGATGTGAAAAACAAATAAAAGCAGTTGTGGGCTTAAGTTTTCCTCCTCTTAATTAACTACAGGGCTGTGCCATGAATCAAAAGGGTGGAAACGAACAAGTTACCCACAGTGATGCTCAGAATGTGTTTTGGACATTGTTAGTGCAATAGTTACAAACTAGTGACTTAAACATAAAAAAGGAAACTTCATTTCATATTCAAAAAGCAAGACCAGACTCTTTGGAGAATTTCCTTGTAATTCATATAAGAAAGAGTTAACAGTGTTAAATATACAGATAGAAAATTTAATTCTGGTGAGTACAGAGTAGTGTATGGGCTGTTTTAATATAAATGATCAATTCATATCTGTAGAGAATTTAACAAACTCCTCTGCCCTTTAAAAAACAAAATACTGAGATAGCCAAAATTATAGTACGTGGGATTTCTTAAAAAACAAAAACAAAAACAAAATCAAACCTTATTGTCCCAGGAGTGTGTACTTAGGAGTTTTTTCAAATAATTTTAAAGAAAACAAATAGTTTATGATTTTCCTTTAATTGTAAAATTCTGAGAAAATAGCAAATAGAAACTTTATGGAGAGCAAATTAGCTTTTAGAGACTAAAAAATATGACAGTTTTCTACACATCTCAACTTTCATGCAGTGATTAGATATGGTACAGTTTTAACAAAGAGCTGATAAGTAGAATTTTCCATTTATTTATTAATTTCAAGAAAATAATGTTTGATTCTGTTTTTGGTCATCACTTCTCAGTAGAGGACTTTTTATTCTTTACAGAATGAAAAATATCAGTAAACTTGCCTGCTATTTAAATAATTACAAGGTCAGAATATACAAAAACAAGTACCTTAAGAAACTATTTTGTTATTGTTGCTGCATTCAGTGCAACAGAAAATAGTTATAGGGTGATTCACTTACAAAAGAGCATATTGGTGGAAGTTAAAAATTACTGTAATTCTGTATAGCTTTCCCTCTCTCCCATAAATAATTTGATCCAGTTAACTCAGTTCAGTTAAAGGAATGATGCATGCAACCTGAAAAGATAGAAAGAAATATTTGTGAGTTCATACGTTATCCTTTAATAACGAAACAGTTCTATTAAACTGAAATCTCCAAAAATATTTGAGCCTGAAAAACTGTAACTTTTTCTGGGGGGTAAAATGATTACTCATAAGACTTTTGGGCAATTTGTGTTTCTAATAGATTTTTAAAATATAATTATGATAGGTATATGGCATATGAACACTTCACAGTTATGCTGAACCTACCCTGAATCTTATTAAAAAGATGAAAGACTGAACATTGAAGACCTTTTTCTAGTTCCCAAATTATAGAGTGAATATTAATTCATAATCACTTAACATACTAGTTAAAATATAAAAAAGCTATTTACAGTATTACCATACCCTGTACTTTTTAAGTATGGTTATTATGTCTTACTTCTTTTTTATCTTTAATTTATTATCTTAAAAAAATGCAATGAAAAAATTATCTTCTAAGACTTCTACAGCAAAATTAAACCAAACCAGCTCCAGGAAACTGGCTGTCATGATAAGTCAGGAAATTCAAAATGAAGCTTGAATTATTTTCCTTAATTTATTTAATTATCTCTTTTTTATTAAAAGTGACAACAATTCTTAATCAGAGACCTTTGAAAAATGGGTAAATTTTTCTATTACATAATTTACAGTACACCAAGGTAAAAAGGTAAAAGAAACTAAATAAGAAAGTTTCAGTCTTTACCAGGAATTTCCTGTCTCCTCTCAAGTTAAAGCCTGACCTTCTAGTTATTTTAAGGTGGGATTTCTGAGTGATGGTCTCTTATTATTTGAACGTTAATGGTGTGGGATATTCTCCTCAAGGAAGAGGAAAACAAGTTGTTTTTAAAGAGATCTCTTGTAGAGTAATTGAAAGCTTTGTTTCTTTATTAAGGATGGGTGCTGGTGGATGAGTGAACTTTTTCACATTACCAAGTTTGTATTTTCCTTTTATCTCGCATAAAAGCTGTAAGACTTCAACCAAAAAAAAAAAAAAGGAAAAACTGTTTCATTAGGAGTTTATGCCTGAACTCTTTCCCATAGACTAAAAAACTTGGGTGGTCTGTAGGGCAAGAGGTGAGGGTAGATAGTATATTTTGTTCTTTAAAAACCATAAGCATATAATCCGGCCAAAGCCTGAATGCCAAGCAGGAAGGACATAAAGCTATCAACTAATTGCAAGAAAGTGATCACTGCGAAATTTCGTCCCATTGTAAACAAACATTGTAATAAAATTTTGAGATCTATGGCTTAAAAGGGGGGAGGGATTGAAATTATAAATAAACTGTTTTGTACTGATCCTTTTCTAATTAAGAAATGATGGTGTTGAAGCTCAAAGGCTCTGCATTTCCTTTCTTTTAGATGGCGGAGAAAGTTCTCCTTTTAACCCGATACCTACTCTAATTCATTAATCAACCACATGCTTAAAATGAAAAATAAAATTACTGAGTTTCTATGAAGTACAATTTGGAAAGGCCCTACAATTTCCTCTTTCTGACAATGTATAATGTTTAATTTAATACTTACACTTACTATCGTATCCAGGGGTGGTTTTATTTGAAGATGTTCACTGTTGGTTAGTTTCCTCTGGAATAGATCCCATGATCCCTAAAATATTTGTATATCTCCTTATAAAGTAATACCAAATAAAGTTAAGCATTATTCTAATTACCCTGGAAATAGATACGGTTATTTTATGATATGTGTGTATACATGTTGGAATATGTACCAGCACACAAACTACCATCCTGCCTCAGTCAGCAGAGGTTTACAAAGAGAACTTTTACTTTTGATCTTTAATTTAGCTCATGCAATTTAAAAGTAAGCAGTATTCCTTTTGATTTGTTACAATTGTGCATCAAAAATGGGTTGTCAGGATTCCACTGAGCACATGCCGGGGCTCCTCGGCTACCCCTGTACAAATTAATTCTTGTGTTCCCAGTCCTGTACTTAGTGCCAAGACACCCTCTGATCCCCCTAGTCTCCAGACTAAAAGTCAAACTGAGAGAGAAAATAGGTGGTAGTTAGTTTCTTTGAAACAAAAAGGCCATTTAATATGAAGACATTTGAATTAAATGTACATGAAATAAAGCAAGTTATGAAATTCAGTAATTTCTGCAGAATTAAAAAATTTTGAGAAACTTCAACACCAAAGCACCTTATAGCTATTTTATTCTTTAGTAACTGTATCAATTAGTAAATATATGTTTCTTGAAAAAATGAACTCCATAAGTAACCTTATAGTTTTTTAAATTTTAGTTTGCCTATGTAAAGGAAAATCTATGGATTTAATAGATCTCCCTTATTCTATAAAAAATAATTAATAGGGAAGCCTCTAGGTCACAATAGAAAAAAACAAAGATGACTTTCAGGATCATGTAAGTGGAGAAGATAGTTGAATTTTTTCTGCATTTTGATTGTTTTGAGATAATCAGAAGTGTAATTTTAAAAATAGTTTTCACAGAGATAACTTGGGGAACCTTTTGTAATAAAATGTTTCACAAAAGAGCACTTGTGACAATTTTTTTAATTGCTGTAAAACGTGTAATTTAGAAAAGGATTTGTTTAGCAACCACTGTGATTTTAAAAAATTTAATGGAGGGCAAAGCAATTACATTCATTTTTCACAAAAGCCTATAGAACAAACGTTTTCATTATATAGAATTGTTTGGGGTAGATGTAAGTGGGGGTTGAAGGAATTAGGCAGTAACATTGTTCCAGAACTTTCTTTAAGGGACCCACCTCTAAAGTTCAGCATGGATCATATTGCAACCCAGACATTTCTCTATTTTTCTCTCTATTGGGATTTCATTCAGCTTGAGGCTTTTCCTCCCTCCCACCTTCCCCCTCTTCTCCCACCTCCTTCACCTCCAGGACAGCTGGAAACTGACCAAAAAAAACTTTGCCTTCGTTTACAAATTCCTTTTTTATCAGTGGATTTCTAGACAAAGTACCTTATCATTTCAAATGCTGGGAGAAACAGAAGCATTGTAAAATATAGGCATGAGTGCCCAGCTGATCAGCAATTATCAAACATGCTTGGATTTTTGAAGAAAATGTAATATGGAGATAAATATTGGGATATCTGAAGGCAGAGGTTGCTATTGCCTGATCTATTCGGTTGCTGACTCAATAAGCTCGGGGTTGGCGCTCTTTTCTGGGCAGTCCCTTCTGCATTGTCTGGTTGGCAAAAACTTGGCAGCCTCTTCTTTTATTGTTAGAACTATTATCCCTGGTATTTATATAACATAATTTTCAGAAAAGCACCATTCATATAGCAAATATTTTTAAAATAGCCTGTATTCTTTACTTTAGAGAACAATGGATTCAATCTTGGGGTGTTAAAAGTTTTACTGACAGCTCTCATTCAAATAAGTTTTTAGGTCTCTGGATTATTAATTTCAACAATTCAAAACTAGCCTCATTAAAATATTCTTAAATATTTGGTGTCTTTTCATATTTCATTTTGAAGTGTTTCCTTAAAACATAAGGAAATATTTGACTTGAAAATCTTCAGCAATCTAATGACATACAGTAAATCACTATATCCTACACATTGTTACTCTTTTAAAAATAATGCACAGCTGCCTGTCAACATGCGCCTCTGTTTTTCTTGCATGTGAATGCAAAGCATTGGCTCTCTACCTAGGCTCTTCTGGTCACAGACCAGGTGAGCAGTCAAGGCCTTACCCACAGAGCTTCCCTGGAGCAGTCCTTTCTCGACAGTGTCCCCGAGGGCTTCTTGGTCCCTAGTGTGCAAAACCTGTGAAGAGAAACACTGAATATGAGATTCGAAAAGGGACCAAACAAATGTCTTCTTGGAAACAGCAACTTTTGTCCCCAGCTGTCCATGGCGTTGCTCTCCCTTGCCCAGTCTAACCAATGTGCAGACTACTGTACAACGGCATTGTCCTGAACAGGTAGTCTGAACACTGGGGCGACGGAGCAGGATCTCCAGAAGCTTCCATCTAGTACTTAAAATCCTCTCCCGGTCTTTGGGAAAAGCTTCCCTTCCTGCACCAGGGGTTGCATTCGGCTTTCCCCCCTGAATTCTGCTGCACTGCCTGAGACACACTCAAGGGCTGTGATTTCCAGTCTTGACGTGGCACATTTGCTGCAGACTGGGGAACTGGCAATGAATTTAGGACCAGGAAAAGGGGGAGGGCTGGGCTGGAGAGTCCATATATGGGATGATGTCACCCTGGGGAGGTTTGGGTATGCGCTGTGCCGCTGGAGAGACCGCTAGAATCGCCTGCTCTCAGACATGGGTCTGTGCATAAAATGGTACCAGATGTTTTAGTGTAATGTTAAGCAGTCATTTCATCTTCAGGCCAGATTTTTTTTCTCAACTGGGCAGGAAGTGGGCCCCAGTATGGAAAAGCTGTAAAAAAAGAGTCGAGATGCACAGTTCTACTGTGACTGGCCGAAAGAGAGTTCGTGTAGAAGTACAAATTTGCTGTCCGATCCAGGCTAGAAGAGTAATTTTAAGATAGAGGTTAGATAAAAAAGTAAACAGAAAGTCCAGCAGTGGAAGTCAGGGTTCATTTGGAAACCTTTTTAAGCTTTCCTGTGGTACTTTATTTTCTGGTATTTTACTCGTCAAAAAGGGCAGATAAGTTCATTTTTTTTCTCTCTCTCTTTCCCTTCTCCTCCTCCTCCTCCTCCTCCTCCTCCTCCTCCTCCTCCTCCTCCTTCTCGTCTGTTGGATCTGTCAGCGGCTTGCAGGCTGCTCTAGACTTGAGCAGTAATTATAGCAACTTCCTGAAAGTGAAGCCCCCATGAAAAGTCTGGAGAAATGTTCTTTGTCATGGCCTCTACATGAGTAATTAGTTCCACATGTGGCCTTCCTCGTTCCCTCAGCGATTTTGGCTGGCTCTCTAAGTGCTGTGCTATAGCTTGACCTAAAGAAACTTTAAAGTTTTGATTTCAAACCTCCACTGTGAAACAAGGACTCCGGTCTCCTAACAAATTGCCTCTGGTAGACTCATGCTATTAAGCACGGCATTGTTTTTCAGTGGTAATTCCCGATTCTGTGTTAGTATCTTTGTTTTGTTTTAATGGTATTTTGCTTAGTTTTATCTCTGGTTAACTAGTCTGTTGAAATTTACCAAGTGCCGCTTGACCAAAGGTTATCATATCAGCCCGCTGGCATCTTCTTTTCTTCTGTTGTTGCTATTTTCAATTATATATACTGTTGAATATTCTGAATATACCAGCTCTCTGACTTTCTCTCCATAGAATTCTGATTGAAGTTCAAGTTGCCTCAAACAACAGTTTGATTAATTGCTCTTCCAAAGATCAAAATGTGAGAAAATTCCCAGGTAGCTTCCAAATTTAATCTGAGTAGCCAAACTAAGAAAATTAGCATTCTTCAAAGAATTAACAGCCAAAGCAATCCATTTCTACTGGCCTTCTGCAATACTTTTTAGAAGCAGAAAGATTACCTCTTCTAAATACTTAGGGCTGAATATTTGAAAAAGCTTCAAGAGAGAACTGTCCTAAAGCATTCCCTTTTCATGAAATGTCTTCTCTTGAATTAACATACCAGTAAAGGGAACAAAAGTTATTACAAGCCTTGGTTACCTTGAGAGGAAGACTCATTAAGATAAAAATGAATTGTCCAGCAGTTTAGGGAACAAAGAGATTAGCATTAGCTACATCATTCAAAAAGAGATTTAAATCATCAGTAGCAATCAGAGGGATTCCTGCCTATCACTGTCTTTCTGCTTACATGCTTATGTCTTTAGGGCCTATTCCATTAGAGCTTGAGCAAGCCCCAATATGCCTCAACTCTTTTTCTCCCTGTCACTGCTAGTATAATACTGGCAATATGTAAATGTAACTACGTACAATCCAATAGTCTTATCACATGTTGATACCAGCTTTGTCCTTTTTGAGTGTCTATATGTTTATTCATATAGGGGAGCCACAAGCCAACAGGACAATAATCATCCAAGAATCCAGCATTCCAGGTGTGGGCTTATTTATGCCACAGTGAAAGCCTTTCTTCTGCCCTCTTCTATTTATATCGTTGAAACATGCCTTGGAAATTGTGGGTAAGGCAGCAGCTGAAAGGTGGTTCTGATCAGACTGCTCCATGATCTCATCTTGGTTCACACATCTATACTTCCCAAATGCAGGAGAGTGATCTCTTCCTCTAATAAGGGTTTTATGATGTTTTTTTTCAAGGAACTCAAATTTATACTTATCTTTCCTGCTTTCGAAGGCATTTCAAGTGATTTTCTACGGAACTAACTATAAAGGCTGTGTTCCCTTTAGCCTATGTGCCCATCTCATTGGGCTTCCAGTTGACTAAAATGCTTTAGAGTTTTAGTGTTTCCTCCAAATTGTTCAACAAATATTTATTCTTGCGTACTCATGTGTTAGTCACAATGCGAAGGACTGGCATATAAAGATTAAGGAAATATGATTCCTGCCTCCCAAGAGCTCACACTTATTTATATTGTTGGGAACGCTAATCTGTGATCAAGTTGAATCTAAAGAGTCTGCCATGCCTCTATGGAAGGTCCTTGGCATTTATTTGGAAAAGCTTGAGGACTGTTTCTGTGCCTGTAAAGTTGTCAGTTAAATACTTGAAATGTGATGGGCTCTGGAAGGCAAAGTTAGACATGAAAAAAATTCGCCTTTGAGAACTAATGTTATTTAACTTGCTTATTTCAAAAGATATTGACCAAAGTGATTGTTTGAAACACTGGATGGTTTGGGGTGACTACAAAATACGCTCTATTTTAAAAGTCATGGAACGGTAACACTGTTGCAGTTGGTTATCATCCCCAAGCTTGGTAAATTTTTATGACTTTAAAAATTCTCCAATTGAAACCAGGAATGAGTGTCGTTTCTATGGATTTATAAAGGAAGAAGTCTACTAATGTTTACAATTAGAGTATTTTGTGACATCCAGATATGCATATTTCAGATAGTATTATGTAGCTTTAGATTTTTTGTAACAGGATTAATGCACTGGCATTATACAAGTTCAAACAATAGATAATATGTAAAGAAAAAGCTAGTTATTTTCTCCTCCAAACCCCTAACCTTCCTGCTCTCCCACCTCAATGGTAATAGTTGGGTGTGGTTCTTTTTACCATCTTATCAGTGGTCATTTTATAGCTTCTTTAGACATTACAAAATTCTTTCACATACAGTGTACTAGTTTCTTGTGATAACTTTATATAGCTATAATCATCAATCCCATTTTACTGGTGATGAAATAGAGGCTTGGAGAGGTTAAAACCATATTACTTCATGGCATTACAATGAATGGCAGAACTAAGCTTTTTTCTACCTCATATGCCTGTGCTCGGAAGTATACTGTCAACCGAGACAAATGTTTTCCCCTGCTGAATTCGTATAATGCTTATATTTCCTGTTATTAATTTGTCAATTATCTTCTGCCCTCTCTTAGTTTTGTACTGAAATGTTACCTGTGCTATGTATTATTTCACACATTTGGATTTTTTTTCCAAAGTAGAATGAATAGAAGCTAATTGAAGGTAGGGTTGTATTTTTACTTTAATGAGCCATAGTAGACCATTCAGTAAACTGTTGAAAGAATGAGTAAAAGCTGCATTGTATGCATGTGATTTCTTATCAAACCTTTCTCATGACAATAATTCAAGAATTAAAGCCATCTTATTTTTATCTTACATGGAAAAATGGTGCAATTTTAACATTTATATATGTGTGCTGCAGCTATGTATCAGATTACACTATTCTTTTAGAAATATATGTGAACATTGGGCCAGCCATATTTCCTTGCTTATTTTTGGCCTTTTAATGTTCTGGATGCATCCTGTGTAGCTGTCGGTCATACAATCTTGTGTGAAAAGCAGGATCTAACCAAGTTGTGGCGTTTCCTTTTTTGTTGTTTTGTCCTTCCCAATTTGTATTAGTGATAAAAATCTAGTTGACCCCAGTTCATTGCAAATTAAAATAGAGAAGATAGCCCCAGTTACTTTGGCTTTATGTTGTGTGGATTAACACTTTTTTTTATTGGAGGCAATGCAATCCCTTAATCGCCAGCATTTTCCATTTTGTTAGGGCCTGGAAGGGCTAAAAGATTTGTAGCAAAGCTTTCCGCTTTTCTCTCCTTCCCTAACTCTCAAACAAATGGCTACCTTCAGATCACTGGAGTGAAGTACCTTCTTAGCCAGACATGCAACATCCGAGGCTGTAAAACAGAGTATCTTACAATCTTCAAAAAGCTTGCAGAAGGCAAAGATCATGAGAGAACTGATTTTAAAATGTACATTTACAAATAACACACGTCTTCTTTGCCCGTCCCTAGATTTTCCATTGCTGAGTCTGTTTATTTAGAAATCAGCCCGTAACCAAAAGTAGTATATATTTTGTGAACATGCTTTCCTCAAATCAGTTGAGAAAGATAATGTTATGTCCTTAAGTTTTACTAATTACTGGTGTGCACGACAGCCATTTCTACATTTCAGTAACATAATACATTCGCAGACAAACCTTAAAAACTCTGGCTCTACTGAAAACCAGTTGCATGAAGGTAAACTTATTATTTATGACTTCAGTAAAATTTGAAGCACTCTCTTGAAATCTTTAGGGAAAGGCAAGATAAAGGGATTGGAAAATTGGTGCTGGCCTTTTCAGGCAGATTTTTACTGAGAGCATACTAGGAATGCAGTCTGCTTTCTGCTTCAACCCCCAAAAGCTGACGAGCATCATCTGAATGCTATGTGTTATGAACCTCCCATTGAATTCCACGTTACAATCAGACTTTAAAATGAGCACTGGCTCTCTTGGATAAGAGAAGTATGGTGTCCTTGGGTCACTGACAATTTTAGAATATTGACTCCTGATGTCTTTGGCCTCACCAATGTTTTATTTCCTTAGTGCAACTCAAAAATGAGCATAAATGATATCAAAAAGAGAAAAAAGTCTGTATGTGCAACAAAAAAAAAGATTCAGAAACCACTCTTTTTGCAGGGATAGAGAAAGTATACTTTCTGTGGCTGGGGGTACAAGTGAAGCATACTGGCTCCAAAGGAATGTGTGTGTGAAGG